GGCGGGAGGACTTTGAGGACTGTGTTGTGATCTTCTAATATTTAACATTATTTATTTATTTATTTCTCCTACCAAGAAATCTTAAGCACTTGCACTGAATTTGTCCTAAAAGGTAAAACCCTGCATGTAAAGTTTATTGTCCAGTGAGATCTATTAGATGATCATTAATTAATATACAATCTCTCTCAACTTATGACGCTGAGCTGTATACTCCTTACACAATATGTGGAATACAGGGGATGGAGTGGGTGGATTCTATAAGGAGTGGGGCTTATGAGAAGTAAGAGGGGTCAAAAAGGAGGGACCATATTGTTTTTGTTGACCCCCTTTTCCACTTACAGAGCTAGGTTATTGTTTTTCTTTGAAATAAATGTTCATGTAATTTTATTGGTATCTATCTTCATTTTTTACATTTACCAGTAGCTGCCTCATTTCCTACCCTAGGCTTATACTCGAGTCAATATTTTTTCCCAGTTCTTTGTGGTAAAATTAGGTGCCTCATTAGGCTTATACTCGAGTATATACGGTAACTGCTGTAGTAAACTATAATAGATATAAAGTGAAAAAACACAGGGTTTTAATGCATTTTAAAATATATACAAGAAAATGTTTCCCACACTTAGAAGCATTTTCAAAGCAGAGACTTTTGGGCCAGAATACTATTTTCTATAACCAAAACAAATTATTAATATAATTCCAGCTCCGTTAACAGCAGAGTTTAACTGTTAGAATACTGAGAGCCTAAATTCTTCAGGTATTTCATAGACAACTTACCTGAGTAAGTGGATGCTAAGATTTCATCATACCCATCCTTTCCGACACAGCCACCCTGGATAGATGTAATACTCTCTGACAAGGCCTAAAAAATAAACACAGACTAGCACTCAGGAGGTACTTTGTTTCATTTTATATGAGGGCTGTAAAGAAAAAACACTCTTCCCCTTTAACTTTTTGTGCAGAAAAATCTATTAAGATGCAGGTCATTGTGTTTCAGCACATATTTTTTGGTACTTTGTGTGTAACATGAAAGACATATTAGGAACTGGTTTATAAAGTAAAACATTGATGCACAATCTAATTTTCAAACAGTAACTAACAGAAAGTCTGGAAAGAAGAGTGACGAATAATTAAATCCACCACTTTAAAGTGTAAACTTTCTGTTTACTTACTGGAAAAAATATTTTAAAGTTTTGGAGGTGTTTTTTGTTTGGTTGGTTGCTGTTTTGATAATGTTACTATTTTAGGTTAGTTTAATCTTGAAGTATTAAAAAAAGGGAGGGACTTTCAAAAATTATTTTACCATTTGTGCTATTTAATTTTAATATTTCATTCACATTGACTGGTTTGTTTCACTTTCTGGCCCTCAAATATTACCTTATTGCTTTGGTAATGGTAGAAGCCCAAACACATGGAAGCATCACATTTTAATACACAAATTACATTTTTTAATTAATATCAATTAAAATAAGTCATTGGCCGATTTTTTAATTGCTACTATACAGTGTTCCTAAAAATAAAATGAAGCACAGGACTGAATAAACCAACTTTTATACACTCTTGAACAGCATATAAGAATGTAGCTATACCATGGAGACAGCACGATTATCGACTGTTTAAATAAATACATTTAAATTAAATGTTTAATGATCTACGATAAAGGAAGACAGTGCAAATATATATCTATGACTTCAACTGGTTTAGCTGCCGTTTATATCTATGACATACCACTAGTTTAGCTGTGTAACAATATAGCTAGAACCTTAACAAATTCACAGACCATTTTTGTCAATTTCATGGCTGCCATGGGATGGGAAGGAGGGGATTAGTCAAGTTCATACTTTCAGATATTTACATTTGAAATTTCAGTGGCATAAAAGATATGGGGCCCTGACCCAAAAAGTGGTCAGGATGGGAAGGGTTTCAAGCCTACCATATGGGGCCATGCTACTCTCATTTCTGCTCTGTTGTTGGCAGGGATACTGCCTTCAGATTTGGGCAGCCAAAGAAGAATTCAGTGCTACCAGCAGCAGTAATGCAGAAGTGAACGTCACAGGGTATAGTGGGGTGGGTTGCCACATATCTGGTTTTCCCAACGGTTTCCAGCCCTAATGAAGTCATGAAGCTTCCGGCAGCCAGAGAACATCCTGGAAGTAGGTGTAACCTGGTCCAGGAGCAGCCCTTGCAATGAAAAAGGAAACCCTGTCTCTAGCCATCCCCAGCTAGAATTAGAGCTTGCATCGGTGTCAATTTTCACAGGGAGATCAGATTTCACAGTTTATGATGTGTTTTTCATGGCTGTGAATTTGGTAGGGTCCTAAATATAGTTACAAATATTAATTAAGAAATTATAGGGATGTTAAATATTGGATCATTGAATAGTCGAGTAACCTCATGAATTCTTATCAGTTAGTTGACTATTCTATAGTCCCTGGGGGGAGGGCTGGCAGCCAGTGCAATCCAGCTCCACTCCTGGGGAGCCTCTGCCATCCTGCAGTGCAGTCTATGTATGAGAGGCAGCAGCGCAGGAAGCCAGGGGAAAGCTGGTCCACAAGGTGAACCAGTTTCAAAATCAGCTCCTCTCGTGGACCAGTTGCCTGTGGCTCTGTGCTGCTGTCTCTGGTAACGAGTGGAGTCTGAGCTCCCGGACCCAGTGCAAGCCAAAACTGAGTCAGGCTGCCTGCCCACCCAGCTCCTAATACACTTTAATTGCAGAGCTTCAGCAGGGGTAGTTCCCGGACCCATCTCAAGCAAGGACTGAGCCTGCTAAAAAATTTACTGGAGGGGGGAACGAGAGGGAAATGCATGTACAGGCAGTCCCCGACTTACGCGGATCCGACTTATGTCGGATCCGCACTTACGAACGGAGC